TCGGTGTAAGACATTTTCGTGTTCCTTTCGTGTTTTTTGTTTGCCCGATTTTCTTTAAGTGCCTTTATTATAGCATTTTTCTTTTGGCTTTACAAGAGGTTTTTTGAAAAACTTTCATTTGGTTTTGGCTTTGAATAGCCACTTTTAAAATCCCTCTTGTTCCGCTCAAGTGATTATAGTATATCATATTCTTATTTTTATTGCAAGCGGTATATGAAGAAAAAACAAATATTTATATCTTCCAAAAAGATCGAAAAACCGGCGAAATTTCAAATTTCGCCGGGCCTGCCACAATTTAAAAAACCCAGCCTTATGGCTGGGTTTTTGTGAGTTTAACAATCGTGGAACTTTCCTCTTTCCCAAATCTTTTCGGCGAATGCATTCAAGAAAGAATGTGGCTTGGGTTTGGACGAGACTTTCCCGTTGGAAATGGAATCCAATCTACGGACCTCTCCATCAAGAACAACATATCCAAGTGCGGAGCCAAACGCGATTTCTCCCAAAATCGTGTCAAGGTTATAATATAGAATCGTTATCAGTAGATCCATTATTGACTTGTTTGACAGAGTTAGATTCCTCCCGTCAATGAATCCCGTCACATCAGTTTCAAAGTATGCGGTGTCAAGTTCATTCTTCCTCCTGATAAAACGAATTTTCATCTTTTTCATTTCACCACTCCTCTCTGGTCTTCTTGTTTAGTTCACGGCGAGTGTTTGACTTTTTCTTCTTGTCGACGAAAACCTTGCTGGTTGTTGACATCTGTGGCTGAAAGCGATGCTTGCGAATGTCCATCTTTATCCTCTTTCGTTTTTGACTGCCCATATTATATCATTTCCTTTTTTTGTGTGCAAGGGGTATTTACGAAAAATCTAGGGGTTTATAATTGCAAAAATCTAGGGGATCACCGGCGAAATTTGAAATTTCGCCGGACCCAGCTTAATTTAAAAAACAGGCCCAATAGGGCCTGTTTTTGTCGGTTATGAAATTTTTCACCACCAATTATAACGGCGCGTGCGGTGTTTGACCTTGAGAATTGGAACAAAAACCTTTTTGGATGTGATTCCATAACTTGTCAGACGATCCATAACGGAATCAATTTCATACTTTGAGACGAGAAGTCCGAAACAGCGACCCCTTGTGGAATCCCAAGTGTCAACAACTTCACCCTTGCTGATAGTTGCGACGTGTGTTCTAGAGAGGGAAAGAATCGGCTCGGAACAGTATGCGAGAATGTTTGCAAGTTTTCCACGGGCCTGGGTTTCTTCAAGTTGAAGCCACACATAGCCAAACTCCTTCAGAACCAAGTCCCAAGTGCCAACTGTGTTTCTGCGAGTTTTATTGGAACGAGCCAACTGATACTGTTTCTTCTCAATCTCCTCGTATGACATAATTCCCTTGAGAACGAATGCCATTGCGCGAGTGGTACAATCTCCCTTGTTGTAATCGAAATAATTGTAGTTTTCGGGGCGAACATTCTCACGATTGATTGGACAGAGTTGACGAGCCATTTTTATTTCCTTTCTCCGTTGAAGATGTCCATAGTATATCATATTTCCAAATTGGACGCAAGAGGGAAAATGAAATAATTTTTCTTTTTATAACTTCAAAAAAGATCGAAAAACCGGCGAAATTTGAAATTTCGCCGGGCCCGACATAATTTAAAAAACCCAGCCTTATGGCTGGGTTTTTATTAGTTTTGCAAGAGCTTCAGTCAAACTTCTTGATTGTAATCTCAATGGAAACCTTCTTGTGGGTTGTCGGTTCACCAAACAGAGCCGCAAACTCCGCGTCACTTTTCTTATCAAGTTCAACCGCCTCATTGTATCGTTCGGCAATAAACTTGGCAAAACTGAGAATATTCTCGCTTTCAAAGGTTTCAAGTTCCCTCTTGTAGTCAAGAAGAATCTTCGTCTTGTCAATCAACTGATTGTAAAGTCGGTTGATACCACCATCAGGCAAATGGGAGTATGTGAAAAAGTAGTAATTCAAATCGTGCCCTCTAAATGCACAATCATCCAAAAGAAAGTAAAGAAAACCAAGATTACCCGTTCCAAAGAGAATTGCCTTTGCAAAGACGGAATCCTCGGTATACGAAAATGGGAAAATGCCATTGGGATAGTCCTTGTCTCGCTTCGTGAACTCCCCAAGAGAACGAATCCTCAACCAAGAACTTGCACAAGCGGAATCGCGATTGAAAATCGGGAAAGTGATGTCACGAATCTTGTCAAAAACCTTATTGCGATAGAGAACATCGTACTCAAACCGCTCGTCAACGGCAGAGTAAATCTTGCCAATATCACTACGCACCTTGAGAGACAGGCTCTTGACCTCGTTGAAAAGTGCATTGGACTTTTCAAACGCATTGAGAATCATATCACGAGAAACCATTTTGCATTCCTTTCGTTTAAGATGCACATAGTATAACACATTCTGCCGATGAACACAAGAGGTAAAATGAAAAAAGTTCATTTTCCATAACTTCAAAAAAGATCGAAAAACCGGCGAAATTTCAAATTTCGCCGGGCCTGTCATAATTTAAAAAACGGAGCCTTTTGGCTCCGTTTTTTGTTAGTTTTGTAGAATGCTTATGACTCTTCCTGCGTTTCAACAATCTCTTCAATCCTGACATCATCCTTGTGAAATTTTCCAAGAAAACGAAGGTTCTTGTTGTTTGCGCCATCCTTTACAATCATACCACATTCATCCGTCAGAATGTAGCGAATATACCAAGCGTAATCGTTCTCATCTTCAACAACCGCAACCTTGCCAAACAATCTTGTATTTTGATCTGTTGAGGAAATCAAATCCCCAACTTCAAGTTGAACGGTCTTCTTGGTCTTCACAATGACGGTCTTGTTGATAATCTTCATTTCATTTCCTTTCATTTAAGATGCACATAGTATAGCATATTTTCAAATTTGTTGCAACACTTAAATCTCAAAATCGCAGATTTCGTATTCACCATTCTCCTTTGGAATGACAATCCTCTCATTCGGGATTTTCTCAAATCCGCGTTTCATATTGTCAAGAACATCACCTGGAACATTATGGACATCTCCAAAATTTCCATTCATTCTGTAAATCTCGCAACTTGCTCCATATCGTTCTGCAAGAGAAATGATTTGATCGACATACTTTCTCTTGATGAATGTATTTGAAACAACCACATCCATTCCGCATTTGAGGGCGATTTCAAGAGATTTGAGACACCATTCAACGGCGAGGTGCTGACGAGATTGAATGAAATTGTATTTTCCGTCTTGATAATGGAAAAAATCGTTTTCAAGATGGTAGATGTTTGGAAATGCCTTGTGTGCGAATGTGGATTTTCCAGACCCTGGGACACCGCGAACAATGTGGACTTTCATCTTCTCTCTCCTTTGATTGCCAATAGTATATCAAATTTATTGGGAGGGCGCAAGGGGTAAAATGAAAAAAGTTTATTTTTTATAATTGCATCTTTTTATCAAAAAACCGGCGAAATTTCAAATTTCGCCGGACCCCCGAAAATTTAAAAAAATGGGCCATTTCGGGCCCATTTTGTCAGTTTTGGATTTTCTAGGGGTTAGTGGGCTAGAAAATGGACTGTTTTTTTGGAGAAGCAACCGACACCCAACTCGGCACATTTGGCGCAATTCCAAACCTTGCCGTTTCGGCTTGCAATCTGCGAAGGGCAATCGCATTTTTTAGGGTTTGTTGTGATTGCCGTTGTGGGGACGCCGTGCGCTTTCGCTTCGGCTTTTCCGTTTCCACAGAACGCAACGGAAAAGTGAATGCACACATTTTCCAACTTGTTCAATTCGGCAACTTGGGGGAGAAGGGAAAGACGCTTTGTGTACCCGATTACACGGACGGACGGATAACGGACGGCAACCTTGTAAAGGGCGAGAATATCGTCAGCCGTCTCAAAGTCCCCAGTCTCATTCACCCGAAGGTCTTTGTGTTTCTTTTCGGCATAGGCGAAAAATGTCTCATAGTAGTTTTCGGGATTGTCGCGACGGCAAATGGTGTTTTCCGCGTGATTCTTTCGCGCCGTTTTGTAGATTCCATCGCCGTGTACAATGGCATAGCAAGTCTCACGGCAATCGCCCTTGCAAGAGCAATCACAAGTCCCGCAAAGTCCTGCGCTTGTGCCTTCGTTTACCATTTTCGTCTTTCGGTTGCTTTTCCCGATATGGATAACGCAATCGGAAGGTTTGAGAGTTTTGAGAAGTTCGGCAACCTTCAAATCGTATGCGGACAAAGACAATTCATTCCATTTCGTCATCATCGGTTGTGTTCCTTTCGTTTAAGTGCCTATAGTATAACACATTTCCAAATGGAACGCAATAGGAAAATGAAATAATTTTTCTTTTTTATAATTGCAGAAAAGATCAAAAAACCGGCCAAATTTCAAATTTGGCCGGGCCCCCGAAAATTTAAAAAACCCGACCTTTTGGTCGGGTTTTTGTGAGTTATGGATTCGATTACGACTTTCGGCTATAAGACCAATGGCGAACTTCAAGAGCCGTATTGTTGTCAATCTGGAAAAGGATGTTTCCTCCATCCCGACATTCCTGAACCATTGAAATGAAATCGTCAAACCTACAGATTCTGCGGACACCGAAGAAAACACTTGACTTCTTGTAGATTGTCCGTATCAGTTCCGTTCCACGAGTCCACTTGTATGAATCCGTTTTCCGTCCACAGTTGGTGGTGGAATAATCATACTTGCTGACTTCAAACCGATGAATGCGCTTCATTTTTACAACCTCCGTTTAACCAATGTAGACTTTGCCATTATCACCCACCCAGCAATCAACATTATACGCATAATGTCCAAGTCTCTGCTGGGCAAAATCCGCAATCCTGTTCAAATCTCCCTCAATGGTATAACGAACACGGGTTTTGAATGTTTCGGTTTTCTTCAATTCACCACCACAGTTTCTAATAGCCTCGTCAATGAATCCGTGGGCGAATGACCAAATACTCGGACGATGTTTCATTTTTCTTCTCCATTTTTAGAAACCGTCGCGATAATCTTCTTTTGTGGCTTCAACATCAATCGTTGTTGAATATTTATGACCACCAATCACACCTTCAAGATACCCGATGAGAAACTGGACTTTTTCGTTATCGCTCATTTTCGTTTTCCTTTCTCCGTAAGAGGGTTCATTCCCTCTCACGGCTCATAGTATATCAAATCATCCAAAAATACGCAAGTGGAAAATGAAAAAATCTAGGGGTTGTATAATTGAAAAAATCTAGGGGATCACCGGCGAAATTTGAAATTTCGCCGGGCCTCGCATAATTTAAAAAATCACCCATAAATGTGCTCGAAATCACACTTATGAGTGACACTTAGTTAAATCGTCTTCAAATCGTTCACCCAATCAATTCTCCTTGGACAACTTCAAGGGCGAAACCGCAACAATCAGAAAAATATGCTCCCTCTCCTAGAACCAAATCACTGTGAATCTGGAAATAATGCTCGTTTTCCTTGTAGTGTTCGTCAACATAGTTGTTGAGACTTTCGCGGTCCTTGAAATGGACAACGCAGTCAATATCGGTATCACACCATTCAATAAGAGAATAGATATACATTCCAACCTCCTTACTTCGTTTTGACAAACTCACCTTTTTCGTTGCGGACAACTCCATTCCGCTTCATAGCCTCTTTCATCCAGGCGGGAAGATAGTCGGAAGGGAGTTTATGGATTGGGGTAAAGCCCTCGGCAACGAGTTCCAGCGATTCTTCCTTGGTGATGATTCGGTTCAGTTCCATTTCTCTGTCTCCTTGTTTCGTATGCCCATAGTATATCAAATTTATTGGGAGAGTACTCTGCGTTGATACCACTGCTT